CGGCTAAAACGTTTGGACCTGATTTTATTACGTACATGTTGGACGATGAACCGAGTACCCTTAAGGAAGATCTGTCCAGCCCAGATGGACCACGCTGGGAAGAAGCTGTAAATAGCGAAATTGAGTCCATTATGCAAAATCATACTTGGGAGTTGGTTGATCTTTCTGATGGTTGTAAACCTTTAGGATGCAAGTGGATCCTAAAGATGAAATATAAAGCTGATGGATCGATTGATAAGTTTAAAGCACGTTTGGTGGTCAAAGGCTTTAAACAAAAGGAAGGGTATGATTTCTTTGATACCTATTCACCTGTTGCGCGTTTAGCGTCGATAAGAGTGCTTCTCTCGATTGCTGCTTTGCACAATCTTGAGATTCACCAAATGGATGTCAAGACGGAATTTTTGAATGGTGAATTGGAAGAAGAAATATACATGGAACAATCTGAAGGGTTTGTTGCACCTGGACAAGAGAAAAATGTGTGTAGATTGATCAAATCCTTGTACGGACTGAAACAAGCTCCGAAATAATGGCATTTGAAATTTGATGACATGATGTTAACAAATGATTTCAAAATCAAAGAATGTGATAAATGTGTTTATGTCAAGAGTACATCAAATACATTTGTGATTGTATGTCTATATGTAGACGATATGTTGATCATGGGGAGTAGCCATGAAGTGATCATGGATACGAAAAGAATGTTGAAGAGAAATTTCGACATGAAAGATATGGGCTTGGCTGATGTTATTCTTGAAATAAGGATTATCAGAACCCAAGATGAAATTGTCTTGTCACAATCTCATTATGTAGAAAAAGTGCTCAAGAAATTTGATACCTATGACAGTGCACAGTCTAGGTGTAAGACACCCCTTGATCTCAGTATAAATATGAAAGTCAACAAAGGTCAACCAGTGGCTCAGTTGGAATATTCACGGATAATAGGGAGTTTGATGTACTTGACGAATTGTACACGACCAGACTTGGCCTATCCGGTGAATAGGTTGACCAAATTTACGAGCAATCCCAGTCATGAGCACTGGAATGCTTTGAGAAGGGTAATTAAGTACTTGAGGTACACCCTTGAATACGGGCTAAAATACTCGAGATATCCAGCCATACTTGAAGGGTACTGTGATGCAAGCTGGATATCAGATTCGAAAGATTCTCGCTCCACTAGCGGATATGTTTTCTGCATTGGAGGAGGTGCAGTTTCGTAGAAATCCACAAAACAAACGTGTATAGCTCGATCAACAATGGAATCGGAGTTCATCGCTTTAGATAAAGCTGGTGAAGAAGCCGAGTGGCTTAGAAATTTTTTATCTGATATTCCATGCTGGGATAAGACTTTGCCGCCTGTGATGATTCACTGTGATAGCCAAGCTGCTATAGGTAGGGCGCAAAGCAACTTGTTTAACGGTAAGTCTAGACATATTCGTCGTAGACATAATACCGTACGTCAATTGATCACAAATGGTATTATTTCCATTGACTATGTGAAGTCTAAGAAAAATTTGGCAGATCCTTTGACGAAAGGATTGAATAAAGATCAATTGACAGTTTTGTTAGATGGAATGGGCTTAAAAATTCACAATGTAAAGAATGATCATAGTGGTAACCCTACCATGTTGAGTGGAGATCCCACAAACTTGGTTCAAAGGGAAAACTAAGCTATGAAAATTCAGTCGAGCACTTGAAACATATAAATGTCCAAAGCAATTCCCTAGAGCACTCCAAGTGCAAGATTACATGTTGATTGTGGTGAGGGTAAGTCATATGGACTTTTAATGAATCCCTAACCTTGTAATGGTGGAGTAATACACGATACTCTTGATAGGGAGGTCACCTATATAAGTGTGAAGTGAGGGCCGCTTCAAGTGTAAATACTTATGAATCCAAAGTGTTGTCAATGGCCAAAACGGACACAACAATAGAACAGAATGGATTTAAGATTCTATTGTGTGAATGTCATTGTCTAGGTGTACACCATGGAGGAATAGTTCAAGGCATTATGTCCACTAGTCCGCCAATGCATCTGATGATGTTTACTAAGAGAGGTTCAAAGCCAAAAGCTACCTTTTCTGATGCGATAGAATTATGTGAGGATTGAGCACAATAGTATGATTATATTTAATTAACACTCATGTGGGGAATTGTTAGTTAATTGAGTGTTAATTAAAATACAAATTAATGTTAATTAAAATTTTCTCATTTATCAATTAATTTGTTCAACTAAATTGTTAAAGATAGATAGTTGTCCACTTGCCTCCAATCATTTGTCCATTTGCCCAATTGCAACATTTTTTAATAAAGGGGCGGTGGATCTAACCGCCCCAATTGATTTATTAAAAAAAAAGGAAAAAAAATATTTTATTTTAATTGGGAAGATTTTCATTCCCTATAAATAGGCCTTCGGCCAGTTTGTAAAATGCACCGAAAAATCTGAAAGAAAGAGAGAAGAAAGAAAGAGAAAAGGAAAGAAAGAAAAATACATGTCCAAATATCGGATATAAAAATATCAAAAGAGAAGAAACAAGTGATATTTTTATTTGTTTCAGAATATTCCTTTTATTTCTAAGTGCTCAATTTTCGATTTTGTTCCCGTTCGCCGGAGCTCGTAAATCTGGTGTGCTCCAGATTTAGAGACGTTTGTCGTTGTATCTTTGAGGAAGTTACGGCTGAATAGTTAGCTGACACACGGGGCGTATTCTTCTTGCGGAAAGAGTTTTACTCGCCTCAGCTTTAATCTTTCTGTTTTTCAGTTGTAATTTATTTTTTCAATTCAATTGTAATTATCTATTTTTAGATTATTTGTAAGAACTGAAAATTACATATCAGTTCGTAGGATTCCCGTGTAATTTCACTCCAAGTATCCAACATAGAAAACATCAAAACTCAAGCAATCAATGCATAAAGGCGAAACAAAATCTGCAAATTGAATAGACGACACAAATTTTAATTTCACTACTAGCAAATACTACTTTGTTTAATCTTGGAAATGTCCACAAAATATAACATGTGAAGCAACAGTGAAAACTTAAATGAAAAAAAAATAGGAACTTCAGTTATAATATGAAAATTATAAAATAATATATATGTGAATGATTATTTTGCTCTCGATGTAATTGTATTATTATGATTGTGTCATCAGAAGTTTTTTTTATAAATAGAAGTTTCAGTTATAATGAAAACACAACGAAAATAATATCTTCTTTCTCTGTTCTCTTTATTTCTCTCTAGTTTTATAACAGAACTCAAGTGAGAAAAATAATTAGTGAAAGAAATAAAAATGCATCTCAATCATACAATCTGAACATTCAAAGGCCAAAAACAATACAGAATTTTACACTTACTATAATTCGCATGACAGGTCAACAGACAACTCTTCTCTTATCATAACTTATAACAATATATATTATAAATATTTTGATTGTTTAAAATCTGATAATGTACATGTTAGTTCGATTGGAATAAGATCTCAATAAGACAATTTTTTTCCATCTACAAAAGGCCAACTCCATACTTGGGGTACGGGAAGTTATTGGAAAGAGCGCTCGTACTCACAAATGTGTTTACTCGTGCCTCAACGTGGTCCTCCCCTAATTAACCCGTTAATTACTATTTTCGTTTATTTCATACTAAATATATTTTATTATGTATACATTATATTGAATTGTATGAATAACTTGAGACCAATTCTTATTTCTTAAATAGTATATTAGTATTACATAATAAAATTAAATTCATGTTATATATGCAATATTAACCAATAAACTTATTAATACTTGACAATTTTTTATTTTTTATTTTTTTATATATACATACAATGCAAGTGTCAAATCAAAAATATTAATAGAAGGTTAATTTATTATTTACTATTATATATAAAAGTGGATAAAAATAAAATATTATTAAGTCTTTTTTTTTTAAAAAAAATAACATTAATACTTAATAGAAAATTGAAAAAACTAAGTACCGTATAATATAACTTATAAAATAAACCAACATACTGAGATATTTTTTTCACCAAAAGAAAAAAGAAAATAAATAAAACATACTGAGATAATTTTTTTCACAAAATGATAAAAAAGGGATTAAAAGAATGGAAATATGGGTTTTTTTTTTTTTTT